ATATATATATATATATATATACATTTTTTTATAGAAACACTGATAAACATATTACACCCAAGTACACAGCATAAATTTTAACATCAGTGCAAAAACAAAATTACCTTAACAAAACACTCGGGGAAGAAGTAGAAATTACATTATATTACCCTCACCTATGGTCACGAATCTTGGGTAGTGACCAAAAGAACAAGATCGTGGATACAAGCAGTCTAAATGAGTTTTCTCTGCAGGGTAGCTGGCCAGTTCTTAGTCAGTGTCTTCTTGCTTGCTACTAGTAACATATTCAATAAATGTTTGCCATTGTTTTCCCGGACTTTTGGTGCATGTCCAAAGTTTACAGATTTTATCCCAAATGGGAAGGAAACTTTAAAAATGTCATGTAAAGCAGCATGAATTTCTGTCCAGTAATGTTTTAGAAGCGGACAATCCCACAGAATGTGAAAGTGATTTGCTTGTTGGTTTCCAGAGTTTCTCTCCAGCAGGTAGGAAGGGCCCGATCATAGTGTGATTTTTGACATGGAGTAATAAAGTACCTTATTACAGTTTTCCAAACAAATTCTTTCCACTGTAATGAATTTGTACATTTCCATTGTGTTTTCCAGATTGATGTCCATTCTTCCTCAGTGAAATGAAACCCTCCCTCTTTCTCCTATAATGCCTTCACACACAAAGTTAAATGATAATTAGCATTCACTAAACATTCAAACAATGAAGATTACACACCTTTACCAATTTTACCATCCCATTTTTTTAAACAGTTACACAATTTCAATGTTAGTTACCGTTTGATTTTTTATTTTAGTGCCAATGTAATGTCTTAATTGTAGATATCTATAGAAATCTTGACTTTCTAAAAAGTATTCTCTTTTGAGTGATTCAAAACTAAGCAATATACCCTTATTAAACATTTTGTACAAAACTGTTAATCCCTTTGATGTCCAGAACTTGAAACAAGTCATATTTGTCATCAAAGTAATAATTTATCTTTGAAACAATTTAAAAAGCTGAAGCTGCTGCCCCCGCGACCCGACCCCGGATAGGCGGAAGAAAATGGATGGATGGATGGATGGACAATTTAAAAAGCAGTGATAAAATACTGGTTTTTAACAAAATACAGCTTCTAACTCCACAGAGCTGTAAGCAAATAGATTTAAACCAAATCAAAATATTTTACAAACGGTAAAATAAAAATATCATTGAACAAATGTATTAATGCAAACAACTTTATTGCAGTCTCATTAACAATTTTGTAAATTAATTCAATTCTTTTATTTGTTAAATTGTTTTAGAAAATTTAACTTTTTTAAAAAAATATTTGTTTTGTAAATAATTTTAATTATACAGGTAAAGCAACAACGCTCCCTAATAATTAGAAATCTTTTGCAGGCAATATTTAAACAAACCAAAAGCTATTTTTAACTTCTCAATTAACAACTCTAAAAAGTTTTGACACATTAATTGCAAAAAACACAAAAAGTCAATGCTCTAAACCCAACAATCAGTTCTAATTGTGGTGGCACGATTTACCAAGAATGCAGAAACATGTTGGAATAAATGCACAGAAAGTCTGTGTGTATGGTCGTCAAATGATTTAATTTGAGCAACAACAGAGCAGACAGTCAATCAGAGAAGTATGTTAAGTTGTGGCTGCTCATCAGCGCAGAGCAGCTGATAATATAACATCCTGTGACATGCTTACGACCAATCACAGTTCACCAACTGTGAACCATCTAACCAATGACAGGGCTGTCAGCCAGGAAACACCTTATCAAAATAAAAGAGGTCATGCATTGCTGGAGTCTTGAAGTCTGGGCCGATAGATTAAAACAGCCGAAACTAGTTATCATGAGATATGATTACTGGACAGTGTCAAGGCAGAACAGATATACATAATTATTCCATAACAATCCTAATGTCATTTTGCAGAGTCAAAACCTCATTTCAGAGCAGTCCAGCTGAGACACGGACACGATTTTGGTCTCAGTGTCATCCATCGTGGACAACTGCACGTCTTTATAGCAGCCACAATCTCACTTTCATTTTTAAAATCACAGAAAAGCACGTCTGCAGCCTCAAACGCTTCTTTCATAACTTGGTCATCACTGAAAGACCTTTTATGTGTTGAGCCAGCATGCAGCTAACCTGGTATGAATCTCTCGTAGCAGCCCTACCTGTTGGACCGAGTGAAAACCGAGCTGCAAGCTTCAGCTCCAGAACATTCTGAGCTTGGTTTAGGAGGGAATTCGCCTCATAGCGTGTGCATTGTTTTGAAAGAAATGCTGTTCCACGTTATCCTTTTTGGACAAGGCAGCGCTCGAATTACATATGAGTCCTCTTCCCACAATTGGTGAAAATAATACATTTTTGTTTACTTCTTAGCTCGTTTTTTGTTCATTTTTTTCTGCCTCTCTGCCATGTTTTGAACACATGACCCTAAAGTTTCGCAAGATCATGTTCGGAGTGCGGTTTCACGGCACCCAAAACTCGCGAGATTACGTCTGTGAGAATTTACAAAATGGGAAGCAGAGGAGCTGGAATGTGTTTCAACTCCTCCCACCTCCACCGCTTCTGCCGGAGTTAGAATGATGCTACTCCCCCCACCTCCACTGCTTCTGCCGGAGTTAGAATGAGGCTCACCCAGCTTGCGGACATGTCCCGGGCGGCAAGGTTGCGCTCCGTGTTCGACCGGGAACCGGCCGAGGATCTACCGGTCGATCGCAAAGCAGCAGCTAAACAACAAAATTGTTACTTGATTTGACAAATATTTGTGAGTTATGCATGAACACTATCACAGTAACAAATATGTAAACACCTGAAAACTACAGGATATCAGTGTATGTAAAATCACTGCATTTTTTGGCAAAACTGAAAGTTCAACAAATGTTTTTGTCACAAAGCAAGCATCAGTCCCAGGTTTAAACAAACAAATAAAAACATCACTCCTTGGGTTTTGTATTTGTACTACATTACAACTATTAAAAGTTTTCTCAAGACTCAAATGTAAATGAGTCAACCTTGTTAGGTTCCTTTCTCACAATATTACCAAACAATAACTCTTTGCAACATAGTGTGGCATTATTTAAACTATTAACATAACAGCACAACATGGTACACTTACAGTAAATGGTTTTTTTTTAAATCAAGAATGCAAACAAGCCAGCTAAGTTGCATGAAACGATGAATATTTGTCGGCACAACCTACAAGGTGCTGTCGGAAAGGTGATGATTTTTACCAGTCTAACCCAGTTCACTATTTTTCAGAGCTAATAGTTTTGGTGGGAGGTTTTTCTTACCCAGTCTGAGCATCATTGTCTGAGTGAAGCTGAGTGTATTTGCCATGCACTTTGGGTACTCCAAATGCAAAGCATATGTAAGACCAAATAACAGACAAACTGCCTGAGGCAAGTTTTGAATATGATCCATGACAATACCACACTCCAGAATGATGGCAGTGGAGATGGGCTGGAGGTCCACTGCACTTTGACCATCGTGTGGACCATCTGTCTGCACACCAACATTGATGCATCGTAGGGCCTCGTCTCTTGCTGTAACCTACAAAGACACACACATTCTTCAGGATGAAAAATTTTGCTCTGCTAAAACAACCCATGTTCAGAGAATATGGTGCAAAAATTGTCCATCTAGCCAAGTTTTACAAGCATATATCCAGCCAAAAAGTAGTTTTGATCTTGTTTTGAGACCGAGATACCATTAATGTTCACCCGATTCCCAATATTATGTGCTCAAAGCAACTTTAAAATTCTTCTGAGGGGGAGAGGGTCTGTATCCTGAAGGTTTGCAGCTTTTCTTTAATGTTTTTTTTCCTGGTTAGCTCCAGACTTTTGTTGTACTCTTTCCATTCCCCACATTGATCTGGACAGTTGTTCGCCAAGCTCTCTTTTGATGTCATCTCGGCGACTTCCAGTCCTCTGGCGTTTATGTCCACTGTTGCTTCCTTCGCCGTCTCATACAGTTTGGTTCCATCCTCATAGAATACTCTGAGCTTAGCCGGGTACGGAGTTGGAAACCTGATGTTGCGTCTTTTCAGCATGGGTTTTGCTTCGGCATAATCTCGGCGCTTCTATAGGATGGCTGAAGGGTAGTCCTGATCAAAGGATATTTGTCTCCCATTTACCAAAACTTTTTTGTTTGACCAAGCTTTTCGCAGAATTTCCTCTTTTGTTGTGAAGCTTGAGAATCTGAATATTATTGATCTAGGTTTCCACTTTGAATCTCCAGATGGAATAGGAGCCGGCACTCTGTGTGCTCTCTCCATATCTAGAGTCGTTGTGGAAGGAATGTCCAAGCAATCCCAAAGTAATTTGTCTATGAAATTTAACATTGATGATTTTTCTGCTCCTTCTGGGATGTTGTAGAGCCTCAGGTTCTTCCAGTATGATCTGCTTTCTTGATCAAGCAGTTTACTTTCTTGTTGGTTCATAACTTTTAACATCTTGCTCAGTACATGTACAGTATTTTGAACCCAGTCTTCAACTTTACCAATTCGAGTATCTACCTCAGATATTTCTATGCTGGTTATATTGATCTCTGACCTTATGTCACTCAGCTGCTGGTTTGTTTACTTGTGGAAATCCCACAGTTCTCGAAGCACCATGGTTAGATTGACATGATTGCTAGGGTTAGCATTATCTTCCTTGTGCTCCTGGACAGTCACAGTTGTTACATTTTCCTCAGTTGTCTGTCCTTTTGTAATGGTCTTTTGTTTTGGATCTCTTTTCCCCATTCTTACCCCGACTATCTTGTCTTTGAAGAAATACAATAATTTTATTATTTTGCAGATAAATAGATTAGTTTCTTAAGGGAGCTGTTAACTTGAGCTGTCATTCAAAGCAATGACCCTAGCCCTCTGTCTCTCACTTGGAGTAACTCCAGCAAAGCTCCAAACCCTCCTTAAGGATTTGGGTTCTAAAGCCAGTGGTTTGTGTCAAGGTGAGATAGACTAAGCCTAGCTAGTATTGCTCAACCTCTTCCACAAGCTTCTTCTCCTTCCACACCAGAAAAGTGACAGTCAGTTCTCCAGTTCCCATAACTGGGGATTGGACCACCAAAGCCCCTGAACTGTCCTGTGATTAATCATTGGTTTATGAATAACGGTCAGTGATTGATCATTTTAATAACCATGTGATTACATTATTAATCAAAATAATTGTGATTAAGACTTGTTTCCATAATCAAGCAGCTCCACTTTTCAGTTTGTAAGATGAACTTCTATGTTTGCAGGGGTCAGCCAGCAGAGGACCACTGTTGGGTTTGTGGAACGAAAACACAAAGAGCTAATTCACAAACAAGAAGAACATCTTCAGGCAAAAACAGATGTGGTGAAACCAGGAGGTGATGTAGCTGGACCTGAGCAACGAGTTCTGAGAGCAGCATCTCCGCTGACAGCTCGGAGGAGTCTGTCTCCAGAGGGCCACAGATCGTCCTCACTTCCTCCACATCGGAACATAGCCACAGTCACACCCAGTAAGTCATCCCATGGCTCAGTCTTCTTCTGCCCCAACAGATGCTTGTTCTGGAAGTGTCTTAGTGGCAGAAATGTAATATTTGTTTTTTTTAATGAAAAAAAATTGTTTCAGTTCTTTTTTTATTGTCTCCCTGTGAAAGAAATGGGGTTATTGTCCCACTCTTCTTTACAGTTGTAGCATTTAAAGCAACACTCAAATATTTCCTGTAGTACAGCTGTCTGGTGAAGGAACAGCTTCCTAATTTAATGAGATCTTCAGTGATAGAAATTGGGGTTATAATTCAGAAGAATCAGTGTCAAAAGAAAAAGACTTGAAACACTGTTGAGCAAGGCAGCATCAACAGTGATGAACTTGAAGGAACACGTTTGGATGAAGTCAGATTTCTTTTCTCCTCATCTCCTCTCTTTATTTACCAGAATGGCAAAAACCACCCACTGTCCTGTAGGGAAGACATCACAACACTGTGTCTTCTTCTCTTCAACAAAGGGCTGACACAGCATGCCCATGAACAGTGGACAGATTGGTCACTGCACATCTGGCAAAAACATTAAATGCAGTCATTGTGTTCATTTGAGGGCACAAATCAAATATTTCAACACCCTCACTTTTTGTACCCAGGTTGCTGAAATAATAAAATACACAAGTAAAGTAAAACCCAGATGTGCATTTCATCCACTGTCCCTTTCTTTTCTATCTTTTTCAAACACCAAACATTAAATTTTCAATGGTTTTAAGTTTTAGCCTGGAAACAGGTTTGGTCATGTTGTCAGCAATTATTTCTTCAGTTGAACCATAAAACAGACACATTTTCCCTCCATTTACAATCCATTGTGAATGAGGAGGGACTGAAGTGTTTAAAGGAGAACTTGGCAGGGGAACAGGTTGTGAATCAAGGACAGTAAATGAGTAAATTTGAACACCATACATTTGGAAAGATATTTAACAATTCATCTTGGCCAAAAAAGCTCTGACATACCCAGAAAAAGATTACCATTTTAAATCTTAGTTATAAAATCAGCGCTATTTGGCCAAAAGCCAAAATAAGTATCTCTGCATTCAACTCATTTGTCGATATACAGTATGTCTGTGTTTTATTTATTAAAATGAACGTTTTATTATGAAGAAAGGCCAGGCAGG